GGAATAATGTATTCTGGAATAGTAGATTGATGGAGAATGTGTGGTTGAAAAAGAAGGAAAAGTTATTGATGTGATGGAAAATATTATTTTATTGAAAAATGTGTGGTTGAAAATGAGTAGAAAAATAAAAATAAAAAAATAATGTTTACCAAACAGGGCCTTAATTTTCACTTCATTACTAGATGACTTATCTAAGTCATAAGGGAATAGGAAACTCATCTCTATAACTCGATCTATTCAATGGCTCACAGAGTATGATTAACATTCAAACTCAAAAATGGAATGATCCTATATCCACGTGGTATTAAATCACGAGACATGATCATTTGTGCTCTACATAAGTTGGATGCTTCCGTAGAGAAATTCAACGTGACAACTTAAATTTTGATCGAGCGTTTATTAAGTCACAACCAGTGACCAATGCTCGCACCTTGTTCTAAAGTCATAGTGTCAACTATCAAAATCTTGTCAAAACTAAAATCACCATTACAATTTCTCATTTGAACGTTTTAATTCTCAATTTCTAACTTCTAAATTTTGTTAATTTGGCGTAAGAAATAGTGTGATTTGGTGATATGTAGACAATTAACGGTGTCATATAGTTAATTATTTTAGTCAAGTGAAGTGACCATTAGTGTAACAGTTAAAAACTTGAGTGACTATTATTGTAAAAAAGTACAAATTGATCATCAACCTTTATTTTTTGGTGCCACCATCCCTAACCTTTGAATAGATATTCAACGCAACGACCTTTGGATGGAATCTGTCCAAAATTTTGTTAACCATGTGTTCAATACGACATCCTCGACTTTCACCACGCATCACATTTCCAAAATGCTTTTACTAGAAAATTAGAAATAATACATCTTTTTTTCAATCAATTGAACTGAAATAAATACAATGCTATAAAAGGGGGTCGGAAAAGTAATAAAAAAACTATAGGTGATGATGGCCGATTTGAGCATGGAATTCACAAAAAGGGCTTAATCTTTTTGTTTACGCTAGAGCAATTCTTAATGGCCTTTTCACCACATACTTGATAGCATTCTTTCTTAATTCAAGGCATGGACCAATAATTAGTAGGCGCGTGCACTATAGGCACTAAGAATACCTACAATCTACCTACACTCTTTCTCAATAAATTTAAGATCGAGTCTCTAGACATTTTTTAAAAGAGACGTATGATTCGAGTTCTTGCTATCATACCTTGAGAGAAAAAGGATACTCGAGTGCGCCATTTATCCGCAACTGTGATAGTTTTCTTGGT